AAGTGCATGGTCCAGATAGGGTCTGGAAAGTCATTTGTGTTTGTTATATCACTAAAGTGCCAAAACATGGAGCTCTTACACTTAGTTTCTAGTTTCTTGAATTCTCCCCATGCAGTCTTTCACCTCTGGGCTTTTGCTATTAAGCCTCCTCCACACCCTCATTATGGCAATAACTCTGCAGATCATTTTGTGCATGAAAAAAAAAACTCTCCTAAATTAGCCAAAATAAATAGAAGACAAGACCTACTTTTAATGATATCCCAATGAAGAAAATAGGAGAAAGGATATGGAATATTCCTCATTTACAAAATGGGCATAAAATTGCCTTCTATAAAATAGTATTGTATCTGTTATGCACCAGATGGTATATAGCATCATGTGGATGTAAAATTTTATAATTATTACTATCATTATTTTCCAGAGAAAAAGAGAAACAGGAAGCAGAGATGTAGGGGAAATGTTTTAAAAAGGTGAAAATTACCCACGTAGATGGAGAATGATATAGAAATAGAAGCACCAAATTTTGACTCTGCTCTCCTGTAGTCTCCCTTTCTGTTTTCTTCCTGCTCTGGTTCTGGCCTCATTATGTCTCTGAAGCTCCAGGGCTCTGCAGAGTCCCCTGCTGCCTCCAACCCCACCCCCACCCCAAGGGGCAACAGGTCTTTTGGTTTTCCTTCTTCTCCTCTGCTACATCTAATTGCTCCATTTAACCCCGCCAGCCCTGTGAAAAACAGAAAGCAACCTCAGCGGGCAGAAAGACCTGGCAATTGGGGCGTTAGGGCTCCCCCTTCTGTTCTCGGGGTGCAGGTACCTGGGTCTCTGAATCTTCAGACAAAACTCCAGACAAAATCGACCTGCAGGACCTCCCTTCCAGAGTATACCAAAACGCTATTTAGAGGCATGCTTTGCAACTTTGAATGCGCGTAAGAATCACCTGTTCAAATGCAGTTTCAGACTCTGTAAGTCAAGNAGATTAATCACTTATAAAGCTATTTATAAAGTTAAAAGAAAAAAGTAAAAGTAACTAAAACTACAATAATTGATACATAAAATAAAAAGATGTAAAATATGACATCAAAAACATAAAACATGGCAAAGCAAACAAAAATGTAGAGTTTTAGAATGTGTTTAAACTTATCATGTTTTGCTGTGTATAATGCAAATGAAAAATCACAACAATGTGGAGATTAAATTATATGCTACTGAAGAACAACTGGATCACTGGAGAACTCAAAAGAGAAATGAAAAAATACCTAGAGAAAAATGAAAACAGAAATATATAACATACCATAATCTAGGGGATGCAGCAAAAGCATTTCTAAGAAGCAAGTTCACAGCAATAGAAGCCTACTTCAAGATACAAGAAAAACCTCATAAAAACATTCTAACTTTATACCTAAAAGAACAACGAAAAAAGAACAAACAAAGCCCAAAGTTAATAGAAGGAA